ATAGCCACGCCTCCCCCCCACCCGCGTTTTCCAGCCCTAGTTTAGCTGAGGAAGACTATTTTCTGTGGGGTTTTTTTAAAGGAGAAGCCTTCAATCATAACCTCCAGCTCAATTCAGAGATGGTTCAGTCCCAGGAGGAGAGTGTCACAATCCTACATTTCCGGAAGGATTCTTTGCATCACAAGAAGAAAACTTGCTGGGTGAAGTGGAGCCTGTCCACTGGAGTATTAGGAAATAAAGCCCAAAGTTGTGTGGGAAATAGTCTGAGGCAGTCACATCATCAGTGTTAAGCACACCATTGAATGCTGGGAGGCATGGACAGTCACCTTGGGTAGCCGATGATGCAGGACTGGGTAAGAACTGGGCATCGACTCTAGCATGGCATATCCACAGCCAGGGGTCATTTCCTGCAGGAGCGCACAGGAGTGGAGCTCCGGCAGTAAAGAGCCCAGGGGGCGGGCACATGCAACAAGCCCCACCCCCTGCTCCCAGCAGCCCTCAGTCAGAGCAAGAAGCAGCCAGGTAAGCTGCAGAGCCCCCACCCGCCCCCCCGGTCCAAAACAGTCCAGTGGCACCTTTAAGACCAAGTGTTATTCAGGCACAAGCTCTCCCTCCTCTGTGAGGGACAGATCTGCACGTTCCCCCCCCCCAATAGCTAGGAATCCAAAACAGTCCAGTGGAGCCTGAGTGATGGGTGTTGCCTTCTGATACACTTCCGGTGATGTCAGGGGGTGTGGCATATGCAAATAAGTTACGCTAATGAGTTAGGCTAATGAGCTCCTGCACCTCTTTTTCTACAAAATGCCCCCTGTCCACGGCAGATGGGCTACTATATATTTTAGTAAACTTGTTGAATGCTTTATTCTGCTTGTGTGGGAGTCAGGACCTTCACCCCGGGACATGGACAAACCGAGGCACAAGAAACACACCCCTGTGTCAAACAGACCATAGATCAGGGGTGGCCAAACTGCAGCTCGGGAGCCGCATGCGGCTCTTTCACAGTCTAATTTAATGTTAATAAAAAGCAAATCTGCATATTTTGCAATAAAAATGTGTGTGTGATATGTTTGTTCATGTCTTGTGGCTCTCAAACATCTGATGTTTATTCTGTGTGGCTGTTATGTGAAGCCACTTTGGCCCCCCCTGCCATAGATCTTCTGCCATTCACAGTCCCAAATTATGGTAACCTGTCCTGTGTCAAAACCAGAGGGTTCCCAGCCCGCAAGCCTCAGCAGGGTTTCCACCACTTTTAGGGTCCTGGATCGGCTGCCAGCCAGGTGACCAGGGGGGGAACCCCACCTCTAAACACGGAAGTGATGTCATCATGTTGCCGATGTCGGGGGGTGACGCTCTAGTTTTTGGGCAAACTCTATGGTTTTGAAGGCAAAAAACTTTGCGTATGTGGCAGAACATCCCGAAGAGGACCCAAGAGCCCCCTGCCGCCAGCCAGGTACGACCTGGCAACCTTGGGGAGGGGGGAATACTTTCTTAAAACTCTGTAAGGTCAGCCACATTTTCATGAGGAGGAAGCAAACCTTCTTACCAATGCTGATCATATACATATATTTCTAATCCCTCATCCCTCCACTCCCTGTTCTGGACCAATATTGGTCATCAACAGACCACAGCCGGGACTGGCTTCTGGGGTACTCATTCTTTGGATTTTGCACCAACCTGGCACAAGCCTTCAAGTTCAAGTCAAACTTCATTTTTTTCCCTTGCTGCAGTTGCTTAGAAACATGCCTATGAAAATATACTTCTCCGTTCTCACACTGTACTCTTCTGCTGCCAAGAGTTTTTATTTTCCCTGTGCCTTGCCCTCAGAAATTCCTGAATTATTTTTTTTTGGGGGGAAGTCTTGCAGGCATAAAGTTCTAACACACTTAAAACATCTTCTGTTTTCAGGAAAAGGTATCTTTGTTATTATTTGCACCAGCTCCTTTAACGTTATTGTGAGGAGCAAAGACACTTCTAGAAATCCACTTGCAGGACTTGGGGGAAGTGAGTGAGGCCACTGCCAAGTGGAATGGCCGGATGTCCTCTGTTCTGAAGGGTTGCCGGCACATGAAAGATCCTTAGGACATGACTGAAATGTCTGAAATATTTCAAAGGGATGCTGGATATCCACAGCATTCATTATGTCTGAAACTTTCACCCTAGAGGTTAAATGATGCCAACGACTCACTTTAATACGATAAACAATCAAGATGAGTCTGTCTTCGTTCAGTTACCTGCCTTCTAAACCTAAAGTCCTCACAAGCCTTGTAGGCCTCAGGCCGACAGTACAACAACTTCCTAGATCCCCTGCAAGCCACAAATTGCTCATAGCCAATCCCCTGGGATACTAGTGTGTCCATTTTTGTGTCTTTCCCCTTTTTGGGGAGTGCCACTGAAAGGACACAAGCAAAAAACCCAAAGAGTGGCTGGACCATACAGCTCATTTCCCTGAAAGTCATTGGGATTGTCGCTTAGATGAGCTGAATCTGACCCACAAAGTGAGATTCCCTGCTGGCCTCTAAAAGGTCCACCAAATTTCAAGTCAAGGCACAGTTATGCTATTTCACACAGACAGGGGTCATTTCCTGCAGGAGCGCACAGGAGCAGAGCTCCGGCAGTAAAGAGCCCAGGGGGCGGGCACATGCAACAAGCCCCACCCCCTGCTCCCAGCAGCCCTCAGTCAGAGCAAGAAGCAGCCAGGTAAGCTGCAGAGACCCCCTGGACCCCCGGTCCAAAACAGTCCAGTGGCACCTTTAAGGCCAAGTTTTATTCAGGCACAAGCTCTCCCTCCTCTGCGAGGGCAGATCTGCACGTTCTCCCCCCCCCCAGTAGCTAGCAATCCAAAACAGTCCAGTGGAGCCTGAGAGGGGGGTGTTGCCTTCTGACACACTTCCGGTGATGTCAGGGGGTGTGGCATATGCAAATAAGTCATGCTAATGAGTTATGCTAATGAGCTCCTGCACCTCTTTTTTATTAAATGACCCCTGCACATAACAAATAAGAAAACAGTTTTCAATGGCTTTGTGTAAGAGAGCAATCCCTGTAGATTGTGCATGAAAGAACGACCATCAATGGCTATTCTGGGACCTTATGACACAGCCTGACCAGATGTGGCAAGGGGGGGGGGGCTAATCTGTGCAGCAAAAAAGATGTCCAGCCCAAGACTGCTGTCTGAAGACCAGAGAGGCCCTGTGAGTACAAAATTTGCCTATCCCTGACCTGAGAGACCTCCTCTGCGCACCTGCCGTACAGCTGGAGTGTGACAGAAGGGGAAGGGGAGAAAGGAGAGAAAAGGTTCAGGCGCGTTCTGAGTCAGTCAGACTGCTGCTGGTCTCATCCGTCTGTAAGCGGCACTGTTGTTACTCCAAAGGATGCATACTGCTGCTTTTGCCTCCAGTCATATTGTTCATATTACTGAACAAACTGCTGAACTTTCTCTCTGGCACCACACACACGCACCCCACACCCACACACCCACTTGGCCCACGGGGGTGATGGTAAAATGCTGTAGATGATCTGCAAGGGGGAGACTTCATGGAATTTCAGTGGAAACAGACTGTGACAGTTTACTGGGCTATGAGACAGGAAATCAAGTCATATATCTCCTCCTCCTCACATAGCTGATCAGATCCCACATACGGAACTATCCAAGCCATCGTCTTTGCCTTTAGCCCCCCCTTCCAAAGGCAGCACCTGACCTTTTGAGATTTGTGTTTGTTAGCTTTTTAAAGGCACGTTCCTTCTGCCAGAGGAAACGGCAACCAAAGGGAGCCAATGCCTGCAAGCAGAAGAAGAGGGATACAATTTAAAAAGCAAGATTTATCGGTGATGGGACAGAGAAACTGTAGCTGCAAGCCTCTCCTGTATGGATGCAACCAGCAGTTTGGCAGAAAGCAAGCAAATGATGAGGATGGAAGGAATATAAATTATTGCTTAAGGGTGTGAGGTTTTTGAGTCCAGGTGTGAATAACAAGAAAGAAATGGTCCAGCTGGAATAAAGGATAAGAAATGCAGTATCGGGATTCCCCCCCCCCTTCTGACATGTAAAACAGAAATGTTGATCTTGTTTTTCTTTCTCAAAAATATTCTTTTGCATTCTTCTGCTGCACCTGCCAAAGGGATTTAGCCAATGATGACTGCCAGTGGCGACCCATGAAAATCCTATTCTGGGATTTGGGATGGAGTAGGATGGGCCAGTTGGGCTGCAGACACAGGTACGGAGGCTGGCTTGTATGGGACTGGGTGGTGGACAGTCGATGGAGGGACTCCTACACTTTTACCACAGGGGTGCAGAGCACACAGTATTGACTGACAAACGTGAAAGAAGAGAGACTGCTACAGAACAGGGATGACACCATGGAAGAAAAAGAGGGGAGGGGAGGATTCAGAGGGGATGTCCGAAAAGAGAAGGATCTTGGAACGAGAGAGGCGGTTAGCGAAGGCCAAGAGGTGAGCCAGGGTAGTGATCCAACAGGTTGTGAGGGAAATTCATTCGAGTGTGGAACCAGGTGTGCAATAATGACAGGAACAGTTATGAAACAGAAGAGAAGGAAAAGAGTGGCCTCCGGCTAATAAAGGTAGGTAAGGCTGACGAAGCAAAGCCTCTAGGCAAAACAAAATTGGAGCGGGAAGTTACGTTAGCCTTTGCGTCCAAAAAATGAGGAATGAGAATCTTACTGCTGCTCAAGATTTGTTAAATGGGTTTCTAAGGGGGGAAAAGGAAAAGAAAAGTGGAGGTTACACAGGTTTGACGCAGCAAAGTGAATGAAGGTACAGGAGAAGCAAAAAGCAGGGGGGAGGAATGACTCGCACACAATAGGACTGAAAAGATGGCCTCATGGGACAGGTGGCACCTCAAGGAAATGGGAAGAGGAGCAGAGTGTGATTAGTGCATGGCAGACAGTAGGTGGAGATGCTCCAAAGGAAGGCTAGTGAAAGCAACATAAAAAGAAACACACACACCCCGCCACCGACCCTGAGCCCAGGCCCAAGGCAGAACTCACCATTCTTGGCTTGCTCCCGGTAGCTCTTTTCGTTCAGGCAGGCCCCTCGGCCATGGAGCAGTGCGTGTAAGGGCTTCTCCTCACCTTGGCGTGGCAGGCAGCGCAAGCCTTGGGCGCATCGCTCCGTGTACACTCCACACGACTGCCCTTCTGCCAGGGCGCAGGTCATGCAGCATCCACAGCCGGGCTCCTTCACCAGCTCGCAGCCCACAGGGCTGGGCGGGCACATGGAGAGGGCTTTTTCATCACAAGGTTCACAGTGGACAAAGGAGCCCAAGCCTCGCGAAAGCCCCAGGCACAGGCAGAGGAGGAAAACCTGCCTCAGGAGCATCTTCAGGGCACCCAGAGGCAGTGCGGCTGGCAACCAAAGCAACAGTGGAGCGTCTTTTTAAAAAAGAAAATGAGATTTAAAAAAAAACAACCACAAAACGTTCTCCTTCCTTAGATGTAAAAAAGAAAGAAAGAAGCTTTCCCACTTCCAAACGATGCAGAAGAATCAAATAAAAACCACCACAGACTGTCAAGATCTGCAGTTGCAAAAAAATAAATAAAAAAAAATGCAGCTGCAACAGGTTGGAGATTTTTTTTTTTTTTGCCCCCTGCCCCCAAAAGTCACTGGAACAGGCAGGGGGGTGGGGGGCAAGAAAGAGAAAGGACAGCCTTGGTGAGGCTGCACGAAGAAATACACAATAATCCACACGCCAAAGCAAGGCTTGCAAGAACAGCGCCTGGAAAGGCAACCGAGCAAGGAGTCAGCTCCTCTCGTCCTGATAGTATCTGCAGCAAATTAAAAACGACGACAACCACCACCACCACCACAAAACCCGACACAGCTGGAGGAGCCCGGAAGCAGGTAGAGCTGGACTCTGTCGAGCAGCGACTGAGCTTGGGTCGGGACTGCCTGGATCTCTCTCTCTCTCTCTCTTCCCCCCCCCCCTCGCCTTCCTAGATGGGAGTTGACAACAACAAAGGAATTTTCTGTAAAGTTAGAGGATTTTGACAAAGTCGGCGAGAGAGCGCGAGTGGAGGGGAAGGGGGAGAAAAACAGGGAGGGGGAGCAGAATTCCACTTGGTCGATCTCCCCACACTTTCCCCCTTGGAGAAGTTTCTAAAGAGACTGAATAATGTCGAGCAGGCATGTCTTTTAAATAGACTGCCCCTGGCTGGCTGCCAGCCCCTCGCTGCAATCTGAGATCCCAGTGACACCTCCGCCTGAATGGGTGCCAGCAAGCAAGCAGGGCAAGACCAGTGCTGCACACGCCGGGTGGGGGTGGGGGTGGGGGTGTCGGCGGCGTGAGGGTCGCGGGGGCACGGACCCACCCCCGAGGCACCCGTCTTCTCTTTTCGGCAGGATCGGCAGGCAGGGAGTTTCCTTCCGTGCAAAACGCAGCAGGGGGTATTTCAAAACAGAAGGGGGGAGGGGGGGCGATCTTTTTAAACGATCGGGAGTGCCACTTTATCCACGTTTCTCTGAAAAGCAGCCTCATTGGGCTCTGAGACTTACAAGAGGATGAAGCACAGGCAGCGTTGCCAACTTTTTTAAAAAATAAAAACCCTCTGCTCCTCTGCCTTTAACGGCACTAAGCAGGTGCTAAGTGCTTATCCGTTTGCAATGAGGTTTCATTTGCTGTTTGCTGTAGATCATGCTGCTGTTAAAGGCATAGGAGCGCAATAGGATGCGGGTCAGTTGGCAACTGGTCAGGGCCCCTGCTGTCACCTTATTGCCAGTGTATGTTCTTTGCCAAAGGGCATTTACAGGATCAGACGCGTAGGCAACACCTCCATTTCAATCCAGCAAGGCTCTATCAGCACAGAAACCGGTGTTTGCAGTGCACATGCACTGCAAAGAATTATTTGCAGGCTTTTGAGTCACAATGTCATATCTACCATACCTGCAGCTAGCGTGGTAGGTGCCCATTTACCCATGACATCAAAGCACTGCAGGGTGATAATCCGTATGGCTACATAGGTATACAATGTGTTCAGTTAGGATGTACTTCAATGCATGTGTGGCTGGCATATCAAACACAAACAGCTTACATCCAGAGCATGGACTCAGCAAAAAAGGCAGGACGGTCCCAAAGGAACAAGTCAGCTATGTCACAATGCAACGAGATTTTTTTGTCCTGTAATGCACACCTCATGGATTGCACCCTTCTCACGGCTCTTATAAACTTGCATCTGGAAGAGGGTTTGAAAATGTCCCCGTTCTGGAAGGGGGGGGGGGGAGATTCTTCTGAGCATCCCTAAACTACAAGATAGAGTCGAGGACATATAATAGTTGTATGCTGTACAAGAATATATTTTAAGGGAAGGCTGACTGTATAGATGAAAAGCGTTAGGAGTCCACTTTGATCAGTGGTCCTCCCAGGGTTGTTACAACCCAAACAGAGCTATAGAAGGAATACAGTACATCTTGAACTGCAGCACTCTGGAATTCTTCCTTCCACAGATAACCAATAAGCAGTCAGTGTTACCTTCAGGCAAAAGGGGAGGGGACGGAAAGCAATCTGTCACTTTTTAGAGAGATGCACAAGCAGCAACTTTCTTTCCCTTCTGCATGGACCCCAGGTCTTTCTCCTTTGTCTTGATTATGCCTGCAGTGCATAGTTTTTGCCACTAGAATGCACCCTTATCTATGATAAGACTTTGGGCCTGCGGCTTTAAAAATTTAACCCTTTTCTACCTTTCCTGCACTCTCTTTATGCTGGCTACTTTAATGTCTTAAATTCTCCTTTGCACTATCGCTGCTTGGATACTGGAAAGACGCCAGAGATTTATTTTGTTAGAAGGATGACTCCAAATGGCCGAGGGCTGACGATTTCTCTGTGTGTATGTGTGTCTATCTTTTATTTGTTATAAATTCTGTTATAAGAACATAAGAACATAAGAGAAGCCAATGTTGGATCAGGCCAATGGCCCATCCAGTCTGTGTCACACAGTGGCCAAAATCCAGGTGCCATCAGGAGGTCCACCATTGGGGCCAGAACTGGGTTATCTGGTTTCTTGTAAAGCATGAGCTTCGGCCACAAGCTCCATAGACTGCCGGGCTAAATTCAATCATTGTTATTATTTTATTATATTATTACAAGTTTATCTCACCTGCCTTCTAAGGAGCTCAGTGTAACATTCATGGTTTGTTCTTCTTCCACTTTAGCTTCCTGACAACCAGGGGTCATTTCCTGCAGGAGCACACAGGAGCAGAGCTCCGGCAGTAAGGAGCCCAGGGGGCGGGCACATGCAACAAGCCCCACCCCCTGCTCCCAGCAGCCCTCAGTCGGGCCACGAGGAGCAAGAAGCAGTCAGGTAAGTTGCAGAGCCCCGCCGGCCCGCCTTCAGGTACAAGCTCTCCCTCCTCTGTGAGGGCAGATCTGTCTGCCCCTCCCCCCCCCCCGTAGCTAGCAATCCAAAACAGTCCAGTGGCACCTCTTTTTCTACGAAATGACCCCTGCTGACAACCCTGTGAGGGAGATTAGGCTGAAAACAAATAACTGACTCCAAACAGGGTTGGAGGTCTCCTGGAATTACAGTTGATCTCCGTACTACAGAATCTAGGAATGAGCCAATACAAAGTTAGCAACCCTGCTCACCTCTGTTTTCCAGGCCTTTACAGTCTGGGACCCACCAAACAAAATCCTGCCTATCCATGCCATGTGCTAGCCTGCCTGCCTGCCTTGGTCAATCAGGCTTCCCACCAGCAGAGAAGAAATAATTGCTCTTCAGAGTGATGCCCATAAGAAAAGTTTTTGCAGCCCAAGAGCTGGATTTGGCTTCACAATTATCTGCTCCCAGCCAAGATCATTTCATCCCTCCTGCTTGTCCTTTTCTGTCCATTAAAGGGGTGGGTGGGTTCCTCAATAATGTCTGAAACATGATGCCAGCCTCTTTCTGATTAAACTGTATGCTGGTCTAAAGACCGTAATAAACAAACAAACTTCTTTGTTGGTAAACATTCTGCACACAAAGACTGCTGAATGACCCCCCCCCAGCCCTTTCACCCAATGCACCTATCCTACTCCTAATGCCAACACTGTTCGTGTCATGAAATACTGCTCAAATATAGCCAAATCCAAGATACGTAGGGTCAGATCGTATGGTGGATTCCCAGATTTTACTAGGAAGACTGGCCATGCAAACTAAGCCTATGTATACTGGGTTTGACCCCCTTTGAACATTAGGCAACTTCATGGGGGGGGAGAGCAAAGATGCTTGAGGATGGAGGACTGGAGCTGAAGACAAGCAAATTGCAAGCCTGATTACTATAGCTTTCTCTAATTCCAGGTTGGCAATTTTAGGAGGTCCCACCTGCTAGACTAACAAGAGGGCATAGTGCTTTGATTGGACTGAAACTTCCTAGAACAATCACTATAAAGTGCAAGCTTCACCTTTTCATGGCTGAGCTAGCTGGCCATTATATTCTGGGATTGAAATTCAGTCATGCTAAAACAGTTCAATCCTGCCTTTCTCCTGACCAATCTAACATCTTTTCTATTGTACCCACGTGCCTTCCAACTGAAGCTCACCTAATTTTTCTAATAAACAACATTATGGACAAAAGCAAACAAGATTTCTCCAAGAGGGTAGGACTCAGGGGTCATTTCATAGAAAAAGAGGTGCAGGAGCTCATTAGCATAACGTATTAACATAACTTATTTGCATATGTCACACCCCGACATCACCGGAAGTGTGTCAGAAGGCAACACCCACCGCTCAGGCTCCACTGGACTGTTTTGGATTGCTAGCTATTGGGGGGGGGAACGTGCAGATCTGTCCTCGCAGAGGAGGGAGAGCTTGTGCCTGAATAAAACTTGGTCTTAAAGGTGCCACTGGATTGTTTTGGATTGCTAGCTATGGGGGGGACGTGCAGATCTGCTGTCACAGATTCGTTGCAGTGGGGGGGCGGGTGGTGCGGCGGGCGGGCCTCTGCAACTTTCCTAGCTGCTTCTTGCTCCTCGTGGCCCAACTGAGGGCTCATGGGAGCAGGGGGCGGGGCTTGTTGCATGTTCCCGTGTTGGAAGTTAATCTGACAGCAGGAAGATCACTATGATCTAGCTGACAGTTCAGTGACAGCTACATGTCAGCAGGTGGACAGATAAGCCTGTTCTGACCGGTTATGGCTGGCACTGGACAGTGTGCAGTCATCATGACTCAGCTTGTTGCTGATTGGTGCTACTGTGTATATAAGTCTGTACAGAAGCCATGTACGCTCTCTTCGGAGGTAACAAGCGTCTGGCGAAGCACTTTGTCTGTAAATTCTGTGAATAAACCCTTGTATATAGTGTACTACTGGACTGTGCAGTGTGGTTACTATAGAGGGGCAGAACAGCAAAGAACTGGTAAGAGCTGGGAGGCTGGAAAGTCTGCTAAGGTGCTGAGTTGGCTTAGACTGGGTGTGGACCGCTACTCACGCACTGGGTTATGGGCCCAGCCTTGCGGGTTCCTTGCCCAGTCTAGCGGGGTGCCTGTTGGATGCCTGAGAGTCAGCCCTGGTGAGGATTCAGCTCAGCCTGGGAGAAACCAGCTTGGAAATGTACCAGAGCTTCGGTGAGCCGTGCTGAACGACGGTGTGTGCAGCTG